GGAGTTACACACAGCATCAAAATATGTTTGACAGGATTGAGCAAAAAGAATGATGGAAAAATTTACACCACTGAAGTGCAACCAAAATACAGGTAAAACAAACACATCAGGAAATAGTGAAGCTGAGTTTTGCTAAATAAATTTTCTTTYTAATGAAAGAAAGGAAATCCTTTCATTCTGATTTTCATGAAGAATCAAGTTAGTGCCAGCTATTTCCTTGTACATCTCATAAACAGGTTAATAAAATGATCAATATTTAGGAAATTGGTTTGTGTTGTCTTGCATAAAGTTAGTGGAAATTTGGAACTACTGCACAAATACTGCTGATATTGCAGAGTGGAGGGGAAACTAGAAAAATGAGTGTAAAAATGTTCCACCACAAGGKCTCCTAAAATGAACTTTATAAAGGTATATCAAATGTAGCAGGAGAACACATTATTAAAGCATCCACCACAGGTGCTGGATTGCTCTTAAAGCCCTGGGATGCATCCATCCCCATCAGCTCAGGGGAAGGAGCTGCAGAGCRTTCCAAGCACACAGCCAGCTCAAGCTGCCATTGCATAAATACAGTTTTKCATGAAGCACCAAATGTTGACTACATTAGGGACAATAATACTTGCACTCCTAATCCTGAGTGAAAGCCTTTTTCCCCATTAGGTGCCCCCATAAATAGTGCATGGCACTGGCTATTGACTGCCATAAGCCATGTGTCAAATTGTCAGGTGTGCTTCTAAAACATCCCCTGCTCCATCCTCAACATGGAAATATAAGTTTATTTGGGCATTGCTTGTCATATGCTGAGATTTGGTTATTTGTTTACCTATTTTCAGATAATTCCACAGATTTTTCTTCCGCTTTGATGTAAAATTCTTTCTTTTTTCCTGAAGATTTTCTTYCTCAGACAGCATCTCAGAACTATCTGCATTCCTTGATGTTGTCGTGAAGATTTTTCTGTATTAAATTAAACCTCTTTTTACCAATTGATTGTACTTTCACTTCCTCAAAGTCAGATATTTCTGTTGTTATGCTAAGTATTCAGTTTTGAGTTAAGGACTTTTAAATATTGAAGATGTACACACACTATTTTCTGAGAGTAAAATTATACAGTAAATTATGTAGTGTCCACTACGGTACATTTTAAGTAGGCCCTTGCAAAAATGACTTGTACTTACACAAGATACAGGGGCTACAGCATATTTATTAAGACTCTTCAACTCTGTATGAAACTGGAGCAGTCAGAAGTAATGGTGTCTGCTGAAAGATTCTTTATCATATGAATTTACTTTTAGTCATCTATTATTTATTTCAGCTATTTTATATGCCATTATAATAAATATTATGACAGAGAAAGCTTTTATGCTTCAACTTATTGTACTGCTCTTCACTTCCTTGCAATCCTTCAGGAAAATGTAGCTATGCTTTACCTATATTTAACGTAAATCATCACTTACATTTGAATGAAAAATTCACTATGAAAAAAGGCTCCTTCTTCAATACCAAGACACAAATGCACAATCATGTTTACTGCCAAACTACTCTACCATGCAGTGTTCATTTTTAAACAATTTTTAAGCTGTAAAGTGAATACATTGCATATAGTGAAATAGCKGGCTTTCTGGGGGTTTTCACTTTCCTGTTACTTTCTGGCTCAATAAGCATTTTTCTAGCATGAGTGCAAAGTATAGCCAATTGCACTTAAGCATTTTTAATATTTTTGCTCCAATGGGGAGCTGCTTATATACCAAAGTGAGCAGGCTGTTTTCTGGGGTTGTGCAGAGTAATGAAACTTTCCTGGAAATATTGATAAAAGGCTTTTAGAACTGGGTGTGAAACGTGAAACACAAGATAATTTTTTTTTTCCTTGCATTTTTCAAATTGTTATTGTGTTGGGTTTAGAAGAGAACTTGTTTGGAACTGGAGACTGATCTGCCTTTGGCTGTTTCTCCAAAGTCACCACGTTGGTGCCTGGACTGTCTTAGCCTTGAACTGCTCGTTGGGCTTTGTGAAATACAAAAATCCCCACCCCTAACTCAAAACTCTCGGTTGGTTCTGGCTGGCCTTGATTAAAGTAGTAGAGAAACATTAATATCTTTCATCAATTTAATTTTCAAAATCCTGGAGTTTGCTGCCTCAGTGTATTGATTTGACAGTGGCAGTTTAAAGACTGTCTCCTGTATTTGGGAAAGTGGCAAGTCTCATTTAAGATTTCACAACATAAAATAAGGCATAATTCAGTACTGAAAACATGTGAAGTGAAATAGTGAGAGACATCAGCATAATACAATTACGACACATTAGATCAGGATTTGCAGCATACCATTAACAATCAGTTCTGACTGCAGAGAACAATTACAGTTAAGATGCCTTTTAGCAGAAATGATTCTTAGTTTTATTTTTTATTAAAACCCCCCACGTTCTTGTGTACAAATCACAATATGTGACACCTAGGCTTCTAGGGAAAGAAGGAAAACATTATAACGGAGGTAATTCTGAGATCCTGTAAGAAAACAAACATAAAACCTTCTACTTGTCATTTAATGGAGATATTCTTACATTATTAAGAACATACCTTGCAAGTATATTGCCTTATTCATWGGTTTTAAAAAAAGATATTGTGATATAGAAGTAGCAGCAGGAAAATYTGGAATAAAAATGAGTTGATACTAATGATTTAGCATTTCACAGTCTAAAGCTGCAGTAGGAATTGGTGGTCTRCAGAATACCTCTGGGTGAGAAGTGCTGGAATCTCGTTGACAAGGGAGAATCTGAAATGACAAAGTTGGGGAACTTGCCTAACTCATGGTAATTAAAGTGATTTCTTTTCCAGTTGTGATTGGAGAAAACACTCACACTTGGGTTCCTGAGAGYCTTCAGAAGCTCAGGTGGCAGGGTCTGGGTTTTTTGGGTGTCACAGGCTCCAGGTTTTCCTGTGAGTAAAGCAGAGTAAATGGCTGTGTCTGTGCTCAGTGTGTGCCTTCTGTGTGCATGAAGGAAATACAGGCTGCAACCATCAGGGTTTAAAAAGGAAAAGCAGGGAGAAAGTTAAAAAATGTATTACGATTTTTTAATTTGTGATTTTAATGTCTTCAATACATTAATTCCCAAATCCAGGCCAATCTGAGTATGATTAACTTCTACTTCAGAAAGYATTTTGGGGACTTCAAACATTTCTTTTCCTTTTGGACTTGGAATACAGATACCTCTTTTCTGCACTTGGAATCAGTAGGAGAAGGCTAATGTGTGACATCAAGAGGAGAAGCTTTACCTGACATACATYGTGTGGACGTGAATCTGTCCCAAGAGGACAGTAGTTGATAGCTTGTGGTGTAGTCTGTTGAATTACTTGATAATTATATTTTTTTTGACCCCCTTATGTCCCTGTGTTTGTAGCATTCTTGTCCTTTTACCCTGGGGAGAGACAGGAGAATGTTTTGATGAGGAAAGCAGAGGCAAAGTAAACCCAACTCTGCACACAACTTCTGTAGTGAACAAACAGCTTTGAACTGCCCCACTGAAGAGAAGTTGTTCTGCAGTTCTGTTGCATAATGCAAGGCAACATCATCTTTCTCAAGTCTCTGACCATCAAACAGAAGAAAATATTTACCCACTGGGGCAAAATGAATTCCAGAATGATGTGCATCTTGTCAGGGTAAAAAAAAACCCCTCTTTGTAGCGAAGTTTGGTTTAGCATTTTCTGACTCCATCTATTGATACTTCCTATGGAGGCTGAACCTGTTGAAATTTTAGTTGTGTTTATTTTGCTGTCCTRATAAGCSTGGCTGGRGTGRGACAAAAGGAATTGCAGTGATACTMTGTGTAAGACAAACCTGGAATGCTGTTGTAGCAGGCAGAATGGGTACAAGTGAAATAGAAAACAGATGTAGGGAGAAAGTGCCAGATGTGATGAAACAGAGATCAGATGGGTCACTGGGGCTTGGGAGATGATGGGAGACTCTTCCTGGCTTCCTCCTGTGCTGACTTGGTGCTGCTGTCTTTCCATTCCTCCAGAAACACTCGTGGTATAACCCTGTAAYCCCAGTAATCCCAGTTGCTACCACCTCCACTTGGTTCTGTGATGATTTCAGCGTTGTGATGAAAAGAAGCTCTTGGTTCATTTTGTTTTGAGTTTAAGAGTTTCAAAATATCTGAAAACAGGGATCTTAAAGCTGAGAATACTGAGAAGAGTTGGTTTGGTGATGCCTGAGGTTAACTTAACCTTCAGGTTAACCTGTTGTTTTTGGGATAGCGTGTCCTCTGCTATCCCTGTCCTCTGCTAGGTGAAAAGTTGGCTTTAAGTATGTGCAGAATTTSTTTTGAAARTGCAGAATCACAGAATGGTTTGGGTTGGACCTTAAAAYYGTGTTCCAATCSCCCTGCTAWGRGAAGGGRCACCTTCCACTATCCCAGGGTGCTCCAAGCCCTGTCCAGCCTGGCCTTGGACAMTTCCAGGGATGGGGAGTCCACAAACTCTCTGGGCAGCCTGTGCCAGGACTGCCCCACCCTCACAGTATTATTTACTCACATTTATATTATTCACTGGTAAACTCTTAGTGTATWAAAAACCTGTGCCAGTCTCAAGTTAACTGTATTTTATAAAGTATTTGCTGATTTTTTTCTCATTGGTATGGTATGTAAAAAATAGCATGCATTGAGAATAGCACTTACTCTGCTTTTTATTTCATGAGTTACATAACTTTCACCATCAAAATCAAAGGAAAAAAGATACCTATTAACCTCAACACTGCCTTGAGTGGATTCATTGCRTTCTATAAAGCTGTGCATGACATAGTGTATGTTTCTAGCAGAACCACCAAATCACAAATGCTGCTTTTGGCACTAAATGTTGTGCTCGTCCACCCCTTTTGATGATTTGTATGCACTTTGGGGTTATAATGTTAAACAAGGGAATCAGACAAGTTTCATAACACATTTACTGTAACATGATACTGTGAACTGAACTCGCTGTTATTTATCTTTTTCTATATTTTCTCTTGTTCCAGCATAAAGCCAAGGTAGAAGCAATGACCTTAGACCTTGCTTCCCTTCAGAGTGTGCGCCACTTTGCTGAAGCATTCAAATCCAAGAATCTGTAAGTACTCAGAAAATTATATGTAATAATTTCTTGTTATTTTAAAGTCTTTATCAGCTGAGCACAGTTGGCAGAATCACTGTGGCTGGATGGATCACCAACTGCAGTTAGTGAATGATCTTTTCACAGGATTTTTTTTCATTGTAAATTAAAGATCATTTGTTTTCACACCAAAGAAATAAAATTACACATCTCTTATTATTCGATGTGTAGCCCCAATTTTAAAGGGCTTTTTTACCCTGTGGCTATTGAAARAGGCCAAAGCTGAATTGCAYAAAAACAGCTCAGGAAACTTTTCAMAGTTTTGCAGTGGTTTGGAAGAGGTCAGGGATGAACAATTAGTGCACTACTTGTCTTACTTTCTTTTCCAACTTTCTCTTTCTCCTTTTCATTTTTAAAGCTCTCACAAATGTAGCCCTGTGTTAGACAGCTCCATTTTCCAGACCTGCACGTGGAAGAGGCCATAATAAAAAAAAGGAAAAGGGGAGAAGTTGTGATAATGACATCACTTAATTATAGACAAATTTATATGGAGATAACCAGGTTAGCTTCCAAATGGTTTGTTTAATTTAGCTTGAACAGAGCAATGAATTTCTGAATTAAAGAAATTATTTGAAAGCTTTTAAGTTCCAACTCTTGACAATAAATTCCACACTTCGTGCTTTTATCCAGTTTGACCCATTGATTGTTGTGAGTATTCAAACTTAGCTTTTTCTCTGCAAACATTTCTGTAGCTGATATGCATCTTACTGTTCTTCTCGAGAGAATATGACCTCTTAGACAGCTTTGAAAATTCATTGTCGCAGAGAAAATATATAACAAAGAGTGGTTTTTTTCACTTTTGAAACACTGCCAAAGCTAAATCTCACATGGATAGACAGATGACATTTTAGTACTTATAGGTCTTTTAGATTCAAAGAACTGTCAAAACTGACTTCTAACAGGAGTTTCTTTACTGCCAAAATCCTTAGTATCAATATTTTCTTATCATGTCATCTTCATATATTAMAATTTCTTGAAAGACAAATCCTTGCAGTATTGCTGCTTTAGTATCAAGTTGGTTCTGCAATGTGAGAACAGAAGGTCTTTTAATTTAGAACCTTTCTGCTTTTAATGTGCTACATTTCTTTAAATCTATGGAAAGTCAAAGCCACCCTTCCTTCCTTCCATATTCCAAATGCAGCTCTTAACCTGATTTGTATGTTGTAGATCATACCATGGTCCTCATAGCTAGTCCATTTGGTCTGCATATTTATAAATCCATGGAAGTGAACATGCTTAAATCAATTTTTTCCAGAGAATTTAGGAAATGAGAGGATCTAGAATCAGTAAAACCTACTTTGTTTCTATTGGCATACCCTGTTTTACTTGTGTAGGTCTGTTAAAGTACATGGTCAGTGATGGACATGTTTTACTAATATCTCACTCTTATTTTATTTGGAAAAACATTTAGTGATAGACAGCAAATGCCTTGCCTTCAGGTATTTGTCTTTAATATGTGCCTGTGTCTGGCAAGACCAGTCCAAGCATTATGTGAAAGTCTGAAGTTCTGTATCTGTTCTGAGACTTGTGGGGTTTTGACCAAAATGAATCTCCAGTTATATTTCGTTTAAAATCTGGGGCTGGATGGACACCAGAGCCCACACCCTGCCTGCAGCAATGGATCTTTTATCTGCAGATACAGAAGAATTACCTTAAAACCACCTGCCCTGGCAGGAGGATGGACTGGAACACCTACCAGGTCTTTCTGGCCCCAGATTTTTTGGGATTTAACTATGTCTGGATAAGGCTGGAAAAGCAATTATGTGGCAGAGGTATCTTCTTGCTGCTGTGGTGGGCCAGTGTGTTTTCCAGCTCTAATGAGCACTAACGAGCTTTGTCTCCTCGTTTGTTTTGCCCCAGTGTCCCAAGGCTTTTGTCACGTCAGAGATTCCTTTGCACCGGTGGCTTTATGAGCAATTGGAAGGAATTCTACAGACTCCAGTGACAGACTGAGCCTTGTTCTTTGTGCTTTGGCCAGTCTTGTCAGTTGGTAGCCAAACTTTCCGAAAAGGGGTCGATATCCCTGCAGGAGAAGCACATTGTGACAAAGTCCCCCCCTTTCCCATGAGGGTCCTCTCACTCCTGTTAACGAGCGTAGGAAATACGTTAAGAGCAGAGAGTTTTCTGTCTTACAAAACCTCTTATGAACTTCTCAGAAATAAGGTGGTAGGTAGGAAAAGAAAAAAAAAATTGGTTTTATTTTTTTTTCTTCCAAGCAAAACTATCGTTCGAGTTCTGACTTGTGTAGATCTTGGTTTCTGGGAAAAACTACAATACTTCTAAAATGTCAAGGAGAAATTTTGTATAAATTCATGGATTTTATTTTATTTCTTACAGCACTTAATGTGGAGAGGTCTTTAGTATTCAATGGTGAGCGTCTTAAGTTCCTCTATACAAGTAGTGATAATCTCTGCTTGGTTTCTCCAGTCCACTGTTGGTTTCTGGCACAGTGGTATTTTCCAGAAGCTGTTGGCCTTGGTGACACATTAAAATTTATAAAATAGGTAATAGATAGGCATGCTTCCTGAAATTCTGCTTTTCTGGCCCACTTTGTGGCTCTAGGTGCTGTTTCTGTCAGCAGATGGAAGGGTTCAGTCATAGTGACACCACAGCCTRTGAGCCTGTTCTTCCCCAGTTGATGGCAATTGGAAAATAATCTTTAAGGACAGAGTTTCACAGATCTTCCCCTGCATGAGAAAACTAAAATGAAACCACTGCAGAAAAAGGATCCCTAAATTTCATTGAGTTAAAACATCAAAACCTCTTGCAGCTGCGGAAGCTGGGGGGGCTTGGATTGTAGAGCAGAGAGGAAATTGCTGCAATTGTGAATCTCCTGCCTTAACCAAATAAGTTAGAGAAAAAGAAAGTCTTCTTGAATGTGATGGGAATCTGAGAGATTGTAGAAACTACATGAAGAATGAAGAAATGCCATCCTCTGCTCAGCAGGAATTGTACAGGGCTGGTTGCATACAGAAAACAAATGATGCAACCTTGAGAAAAACGTAAATAATAAACGTGAGGAAAGAGTTAGTCTGAAAAGAAATACTTAATAAGAATTGGACTAGAACTTTAAAGCTAAGAAGCTTTCCTTGTTTGAAAATAAAAGTCAGATGATTCATCTATAAGTTACCATGCTCCTGAGATTTGGTGGAAATCTTTTATTCCTATTCGGATTTGTTAGGTGTTGCAGACTTGTCCACAGATAAAATCTGAGCTCTGAATATATAAACACTGGTAAATTRTGCCATACTCCTATAAATATATTCCAGAAAATCCTTCATCCTCATGGAAAAAAAAAAAGATTTTTTGTTTGCATTATCTGTACTCTCAAGTTGATACAGCTGTTTTTCTTTTTGAGACTTTTTTATCCATGCAGTTTCAAATAAAGCTTTGGGCAGAAGGGTTTTGCAGATTATTTTAGATCCTGCAGTCCTGTGATTGCAGCRCTCAAACTTCCTTTATGAGCAGGACAGTGCCCTCCAGTTTTTTTTTGCTCTCACAGTTACAAGGATTCTGTGGGCAAAATAAGCTAAAAACAGAAATTTTTTGGATCTCCCAAAGTCAGCATTGGGAGAAGACAGAAKAAAACAATATTGCTGTTTAATGTTTGATCTGCCTCTTACTCCATGGTAGCACAGCCTGAACAGAGTGTGACATACAAAAAATGGATGTCCAATAAAAAATAGAGCTCAAGGATTTCTAGCACAAAATTTTTCGGAGAAAGCAGTTATCTTTTAGTATTTAGTATTTCTGGCGTGTTTTCTGCAGGTACATTCCACCAGGAATCAATGAACTCCATCTTCCTTCTTTGTGAAAACAAAGGGTTCGAATGAGAATGTGAAAAGAGATCTCACCTAAATGGCTGGATATTTTCAAGTTTCTTCTTTTTTATGTATCAAGTCTTTCCCCTCTGCTGGTTTCCAGCTCAGGCAGGTCATTGAATGTCTCTGTTATGGAAAGTCAAACAAATGATCTGTTTATAATAATGTTCTGGGCTAAGATGGATTTGGCATGAGCTGATTTTTGTGCAGCTGGCAGAGGCAGACCAACCAATCTTTCACATTAGAGTTTGGGAACTAAGAAACGCTGAATTGAATCTGCTGTTCATTGGGTGGGCACAATGTGAGGAATAATGGCTGGTATTAATCCCCCTTATAGATAAAATGACTGCCCTCCTGTGATTGCATGGAATGTGGYACTGAAATTTAGTTACAGCCAGTGTTGGATAGTTCAGGGTCTGTAGAACTGGTGTTTGTGAAGTACAGATATGTGGATGTGGCACTTTGGTATTTATTTCTCAGCTTAATCRTGACATACTTGACTGAAACCTGCACCCTTTAACTGGGGGACAGCGCTGATGTTTCAATTCTAAAACTTCCAAGATAGGATCTGTTAATATTTGCATATGTATCATGGCATTTGCCTTGTCCTCATCATAGGAGCAGTTCCATGATCAAAAATGTTAGGAGTCAGGAGTGAGCAGTGAAGTTACAGATGAAATTTTATGTGCATTTTTAGTTTTCAGTGGTGCATAGTGCCACTTGGTTTGAATTAAAGTTGSCTTCTGCCAAACAGTAAGACTTTAATTGAATGTTCTCAATGTTTGAGGAAAAAAAAAATCTGAAATCATCCTGAAAAATCTTGAATTACTTCAAAGATACAAAACAATGTTTGCCAATAGCTACTGCTTAGAATTTTCTGAATTGGTAACAGCAATTCACAATTATGCAGGACTTCCAGATGGAGATCTTCACTGCATTTACTTTCCAATACTTTAACACAGGAATTTTTTTCTGTGGTAAGAATTGGCATATGCTAACAGTTTATTCACTAATGATGTGTGTAGAAATATGGAAAAGACAGCAGTTATGAATTATAGTTCGCCATTTGGAAGTTTATTCTCTTCTTATTTTCCTAACCAGACCCGAGATGGAGCGGGCCAGGTTTTCAGCTGGTCT